GCTGTTTACCCTCTTAGAATATGCTACATCAAAATACTAGAATCTGTTAGAATCTTACCACAGCAATTCAAAATAGTGCAGAAAAGAGTAGTTCAGGCTGTCCTTGAACTCACTGTGTAGGCCAGGCTGGCCTAGACCTTGCAGTGATTCTCCTGCCTCAGCCTCCCAGCTACTGGTGTGTACCACATACCCAGCAAACTTTTTATTTAGAAGACAAACTCACTTTGTAATTGCCCAGTTTTCTTACAGTAAGCATCTTCTATGTACATGAACAGTTATCTGTTGTTTATTCTGTAGGTGTTTTTCCTGTATCATACACTCTGCTGAAGGCTCAGAGAAGAATATATGGTATAAACATGTACATGATGTGAATATATGTATGTATTCTATCATAACATTTTTGTCTTAGGAAGCTTTTAAAATGAGCTGTAAAAAATAAAATGAACTGTAATAGTTTCATGACATTATTAAATATGAAATTGTATTTGTATAAAAAATACACAGTAGCCAGGCGTGGTAGTGCATGCCTGTAATCCTAGCACTTGAGAGGCTGAGGGCAGGAGGATTGCCATAAGTTCAAGGCCAGCCTGAACTACATAGCAAGACCCTGTCTCAGTCAATCAAGCAAATATACAACAATGATGATTGAGTACCACGTCTAATTTTTTTTAAGTTAAGGTGAAAGTGACCATTCTTCCCATGGAAGCTGAAGGAGGTTTAAAAAATAAAATTAGGGCCGGGGATTTAGCTCAGTGGTTCCGGCGCCTGCCTTGCAAGCACAAGGTCCCGAGTTCGATCCCCAGTACCAAAAAAAATTTTTAAATAAAAAATAAAAAAAATAAAATTAGCCTCCACCTGCCTCACAAGCTCAAGGTCCCGAGTTCGATCCCTGGTACCAAAAAGTAATAATAATAAATAAAATAAAATTAGGATTTTTTTCCCCACGTGAGGGATGGAACCCAGGGTCTCATGCATGATGGACAAGTTTTCTACCACTGTGGTACATTCCCGGCCCTTAAAAATTTTAACAGTTAATAGAAGTTTTAAGACCGGGGATTTAGCGCAGTGGTTTCACTGCCTACTGTGCAAGCGCAGGGACCTGAGTTTGATCCCCGGTACCAGAAAATAAATAAATGATGCCCTGATACATTTTTTTTAAAGAAATAGAAGTTTTAAATTGAGTCATAGCCCATGGAATATAGTTTCATATCTAAAACCCTTAGCTTTATCTGCCATGGCAGATACAAAACTAAACAAACATTTTGATTGAATAAATTTCAAAAGGCATATAAAAACCTAGATTAAAATCTTTCTCTGAGGCAAGCTCAACATTAAATTTTTTTTAATTCCATATAGTAAAACCATAAAAACCCATTATATACATCTTTAAACTGTGAGGAATTGAGTTTAAGTTTAAAACAGTAATGATGCCTTACTCTTCAAAATAAATTTTATATAAAGCAAAAATTAAACCAGATGTCCTGTGGAAAAATTTTCTTACCTGTTACTTTCTTTCGCAGAATGCTAAATTCTTGTTCTAACAGGACATATTGGTGATTTGGCTAAGAAAGCAAAAGAGGTGGTTCAATTCAGATTAAAAATGGTCCTCTAGCACACTGAAATGGTTTCTGTAGCACAGAGGAAGTTTATCAGTAGCTGTTGCCGGAAGTGCAATATGCCACAAGATGACTAAGAAATGTACTACTTTAACAGAACTTATTTTGAAATACAGTGTATATTATTTGAATGCTTTGAATTAATATTTGTAAGTAAACTTCGGAGACCCTCTAGTACTGTGATTATGTAATTTAAATATTTAGACTGGAGCCCTGAAGAAGAAATTATGTATTTAAAGGAAAAGCTACCACCATTTGGTTACTACCCATAGTGAGACTCACCCACTCACCCACCACCTTCACGCTAAGATACATCCTGAGCTCTCTTTTTATTTTTAATTTTGAGACAGAGCCACCGAAAGACACGAAATTACCCAGGCTAGGCTTGAACTTGCAAGCTTCCCAGAAGGCTGGAATTACAAGCATATACCACCATACCCCACTGAGATTTCTTATTTTTAGAAATAAATTTTGTGTTCTGTTTACTTGTATGACCTTAGGCAAGTTGTTGAACTTCTGAGTCACCATTTCCTTCTCTGAAGGAATATTTCCTTTATGAGATTATTATGAGTATTAAATAAGATATCTATAAATGCCTCATACATGGGCAGGTAACCAGTAAATGTTTAGGTTTCTTCCTCATTCAAAAGCCCAGGTAAGGGCTGGGCATTTAGCTCAGTGGTACCGCCACCTGCCTTGCAAGTGGAAGGTCCGAGTTCGATCCCTGGTACCAAAAAAAAAAAAGAGAGATTTCAAAAGCCCAGGTAAAGGCATAGTTAACTTATTTTCACCAAATACTTTCTTCTTTTTTTTGTGTGTGCTCAGGATTAAACTCAGAGTTTGTGAATGCTGGGCAACTGCTGTATCACGGAGCTACACTCCTGTCCCCTAATACTTTTCTAAATAAGAAATTAAGCAAAATATATTGAAAAGAATATGAGTCTGAGTAAAAGTTTGTTTGGTTTTTTTTTTTTTTTTGAGTCAGGATATCACTATATAGCCAAGGCTGGCCTCAAACTCACAGTGATCCTCCTGCCTCAGCCTCCTGAGTGCTAGGATTATAGCCGTGTGCCACCACACGCAAGTGTGGCAAGTCACCTTACCTGTTGAAAAAAAATGGAGATTGTAACTCCTAATTTATAAGTATAATATTGGATTAAACAAATATGAAGTGCCTTGCATAGTACAAGTTATAGTAGATAACATAAATATCAATTCATGTGCTCCTTTCCCCTGGTCACTGCAGAGGAACACAGATTATTATGACCCAGTTCTTAACTTCAAGGTATTTAAAACTTGATACAAAAAAAATAGCAGATAAAATCAAAATGTTACAAAGTTTTTGATTGACTGTTTTTATTTATTTATTTATTTGGTACCGGGGATCGAACTCAGGTCCTTGCACTTGCACAGCAGGCAGCAAAACCACTGAGCTAAATCCCCGGCCCGATTCACTGTTTTTAAATCCCTAAAGTAAAACATAATACCAGGAAATAGAACATAAGTAGTTTTATTCAAAAATAACTTAAAATTTTGAAATCAGAGATTTATCATCATCTTTAAATACCTGTCAAGTTTGGAAAGGAACCACTTCTGTTAGTTTGTGAACTATCATTGGATGTTATTCTGAGGATGTGTTAATACCCAATATAATGGATAATGAAATTAAATATCCCTGGAACAGCACATAAAAAGCTCTCTGGTGGGCCGGGGATTTAGCTCAGTGGTTCCGGCGCCTGCCTCACAAGCACAAGGTCCCAAGTTCAATCCCCGTGTACAAAAAAAAACAACCCAAAAAACCAAAAAAAAACAAAAGCTCTCTGGTAAGAAAATGTTTGACCAGTATGTTGAATATGAAAGTAGTTTCCTGGTTAATTTCTTATTTTTACAAATATACTATTTTATTTTAGTGTCTTCTGACAAGTATTTATTTATGACACTTGATTCAAGGAAAGCTTACCACTGTGTTCTGGTACACACTCCCACATTTTTAATTTACTTAAAATGGGAACACTGCCCAGAGTCTTTCCTAATCTGGGCCATTTTATTCCTCAAGATAACCTGATACTACCAGGATTGCCATGAGTATTCTCATGCTTTCCTTTTTACTTTGTTGACATTTAGCTTCATCTGGAATAATATGATATGATTTGTTGTTTAGGGAATATATATATTTTTACAATTTGATAATAACATTGTTCCCCCCAACAGACATTTTAAGATGCAACCTAGATGTTTGGAGTCATGGAATATGTAAAACTGAATTTGATGGCCAAAAGCAGTACCGTTAGGAAATTATATAAAAATTACAGTCCCTAGGACTCACCCCATTCTAATTGGAATCAGGAGTGCATGGGAATTAAACATTGGTGATTTTAAAAATTTCTTCATATAATTTTTGATATGCAGCCAGGGTGAGAACCACTAATCAAGAAGGGATAGTAAGATTATAGTCATGGTCTTTTTTTAAATTACTAGCATGTTGCACAGAATAAATTCTTATTAAGAGATAAGATTTTTTTTTAGATGAAACTTAAGACTTTAATTAGGGTGCCCTCCCTATTTCAGTAGATATTTGGAAAGTGTCTCAAAGCAATTTGGGGGCCAGGCAGGGTCTTGTTTTGTAGTCCAGGCTGCACTATGAACTCACTGTGTAGCCCAGGCTGGTCTCAAATTCTCAACAATCCTCCTGTCTCATCCTCCCAAGTGCTGAGATTACAGGTGTGCACCACCACATCCAGCTTCAAACCAATTTTTGTAATATACTTAATTGAAGATCTTGACTTGAATGTAACTCATTTTACTTGAAGTCAGTTTCTTAAAAGGTTAGGGAATTACCTGAAGGATCCTGTTTTCCATACTTGAACAAACACTTAAATGCACACGCGCGCACACACACACACACACACACACACACACACGCCTGCCTCTCCTTTGCTCATGTCACAGTGGATAGTAAAGAATAAAATTGGTAATTAAGGCACTTGGCATCCTTGAAGTCCAAATACGAACCAGCCTTAAGTTATTTGTTATCAGTGCTCCAATATGCAGTATTTTTACAAAAGATGAGCAGACTGCAATGGCTCACTCTTATAGTTAGTCCCAGCTACTCAGGAAGCTGAAACAGGAAGATCATGAGTTCAAGTCCACCCTAGGCAACCTATTAAGACTCCCTACTTCAAAAAATAAAAACAAATCATTTAAAAAGCCCCAAATTATGAAAAAAGGTAAATGTTACTCTTAAATAGTAAAACATACTTTGCATTTAAACTTAGCCTTCTGGTATGGGTGTAAATCTCATCTATTTTACTTGTATTGGATCTTATTGATCTTTACAGTGTTTTCTAAGACAATAAAGTGAATGCACATATATATAGTCACAGGTTTATCTAATGAGTTTTGATTTATTATACAAAGTTAAGTTTTAATATTTATAGTAGAAAAGCACTTTCTCATGTGTGCCATATGTAAATTGAACACATGTAGCCTAAAATTAGCTGCATTGATACATGAGCTGGTATGGATTCTGCCGTATCCAACAAAGAAGGTACTGTTAAATTATGCAGCTTGACTTAACACATTAGGAATTTGACTTCTGTTTGATATTGAAGCATGTACTTGTCTCTAAGGACATATACTAAGACTCTTCAAAGTTCATTTACTTTCAGGCAAAGATCGTCTAACTATTGTTGTTGAATAGGGAAGGTTTAACCCTTGCTATTGCTTTTACTTAGTTTCCTCAACTTAGTTTTAAGAATTTCCCCAAATGCTTGGTTGTATTTTTAAAGTATTCAGTGTCAAGCAGAAATACACAATTAAGTAATTAAGCAGACATATATCTCCCTTTTGATGCTAAATCATCTGACCAGCACTCTGGCATTAAATACCAAACCGACTTCCTTTTATACTCATAACCTTTCTCATCACTACTTTGCATTTTTTCTTCTCTGAAATATCTGTTAATTGGTACGTTTTTCAGTTCCTTCTTCATCTTTTCTTTCCCTTGTAGCTGTGAGCACTCCAGTAGATTGCATCATGAGATTGGGCCCTGTGAGCTGTTTTGCTCTTTTCCAAGTGTCTGATTCAGCAGGCCATAGCCCACTGCTTGCCAGAAAGTCACCATTGCTTCTAGGCTGACGTTTGCCTGCTTGTTTTGATCGTCTGAGAGATGAGACTTTGTTTGCCAGAACCACAGTTGATAGAAATAGAAGAATGCAGATAAGAAAGAGCACTGCAATTATAATTAAGCAAATTAATATAGCCATGTTGTTGCTGTTTTCCTCACAGGCATCCTTCTTAAAAATTTCACCGTGACTTTTGCTCGTGTGTTCAATGCTTTCTGCTGTTGGAGAACTGTTCCTGACAACAGAAGGTGTATAGAGCTCCTGTTCAGATTTAGGAGTTAAAGATACGATCTGAGATGGTATTGATATTTCAGGAATGTTTGTAGAATTAACTTTATAATCCACTTCAGGAGTTACAGGGCTTGTGTTAATGTTTTCGGTTTGGTGTCTGCCTGTGTTGTTTTTAATAACTGAATCCCAGGCAGTAGTATTGTTAGCCCACAGATGTGTATAGTTTGCTTTTGTTCCAGAAGACAAAGAAAAAACTGTTGTCATCAGAAAGGCAAGATGCAGGTAATGTCCTGTGTGTCCCTTGTCCATGAGCATAATGGTAATCTGTTGGAACAGTAATATCATTTGTTAATCTGTAAAAGAGTAATGGTTCATAGTTACGGTAATTGTAGTTAAAAGACAGGCAGATGATGGAGATGTTACAAGTAAATTACAAGTTCATGCCTAACATTCACTATTGAGTTCCTTCTTAATGAATTATTTTCTATTACTCTTAGATTGCACATAAACATTTTAATTTCTGTTGTACTTTTGGATGCTATAAATTACCATTACAAATATCTATTAATCATTTCAAACTGAATACCATGGCTTTACATGTTTTTTTTCCCATTCAAGTGTGTTGGACTTCAGCTTTGAGTCAGAAACTTCCGCTTTTACTCTTTTGATTCCTTATTTAAAGAAAAGAAAACCATTTAAAGATCGTTCTTGCTGAAACTCCCCACCCTCCAGCTAACATCTTTTAGTTAAGGAGAATGTGGCCTTGAAAATTTTGCTTCCTGTATGAAAGAAATGCAAGAGGCTCTTTTTTTTTTTTTTTTTTTAAGGAAGGGCAGCAAAGTTTGGTAGAAACCAAAAGAAAAGGAACTTCAAATAGGAATTGGAGATGTTCTTTTTTCTTCTGAGTTGTTTTAACACTCAGAGTAAAACACTACTTAAAAATATATTCCCAGCATTTGTGAAAGCAGTTTTATGTTGGTGGTTTTCTATTTTCACCTGTATTTTTTCTAACTTAATGTGACTTTCTAAATGTAAGAGAATGCTTATTTTCTCAACCTAAAAAAATGTGGCATAACAAGAAGTGGATTTCTTCTGAATAATCTCAAAAATTTTCAACAAAAGTTGGCTTTTTATCATTTTCTAACTAGAATTTTTTTTTGATTTTGGCATAATTCTAAAAGAAGAACTTGGTATCATTATATGGGAAGAAATACATCATCAGGATCTTGGGGACTGAGGATGAAGTGACAGATTATAAGCATCCCAAAATATGATTGAAAAAGTTGATATTTAGCAACTGGGAGTGTAGCTCAGGCGTAGAGAATATACTTGGCATGCACAAGATCCTGGTTCAGTCCCTAGCTACTACAACAAAAATTGACATTTCACTTTGGGGTCAAAGTTTCCAAGAAGCCAGTACCAAAAGGAGACAGATTCTGTTCCTAATTCTTATTATCCACCCTATGATTAGAGAGACTTAAATAGAGCTGAAATTATCTATTCCAGTGCTGCTAACCTGCCAGAGAAGATCTGTCACCCTCAGTGAAGTATCTCTTATAATAATGTGCTGGTGTGCCTTACTTTTTATAAGAGTATTTTATTGTTAGCATTTATTTGAGAGAATTATAAGCAAGAACTAGATTGTTCTGAGATTTACTAAATAAAGTTGCCTGGTTAAGGAGCTTGTGTATTTTATAGAAATTCTTTTCCAACTTGAATGTGCATGAGAGTTCTTTTTTTTCCCCCTCCCTCTTTTCTTTTCTTTTTTCTTAGTATAGATTTAAACTCTCAGTTCTTGGGTGGGGCCTGAAATCTCTTAATCCATTTCCAGGTGATACAGATGCTGCTCTGCTAGGCATGTGTTTGAGCATCAAGGTTTTATAAGTAACAATTATTATATATCATTAGATAAAATTTGTATACTATTAAAATACCTAAGTTTAGAATCACAAATATGATACTGTTGAGTTACAAACAAAAGCAGGATACAATAATGCTGATTAGAAATTAATCTCTGAAATAATAATTCATATTAATAGTAAAGAGGGAAAAAATTTTATTAAATGTTCTAGGATCAAGATTATTTCTTGGATTAAGACCTTTAATAGACCATTAAAGAGGCACTCTACTGAATAGTGTTCAGCTTCAACTTTTCAGTTAAATGATACAAATCTTTGGATATTTTATGATTTTTTTTTTACTCAAAAAAATACTTTAGGTTAGCAAGTAATTTCCACCCTTTTGTGCTGGAACGGTCTACTGTATTACATGCTAAAATGGTTTAAAATGGGTTATTCTTGTCACATCAGTTCATTAACAATGTGATATACATCACAGTACTGTACACATTTTCACAGTGCATACCACGGCCCGATAATAGGCTCCCTGTTGATTGTCTTCAGCCAGATGTACTGCCATGCCCAGAAAAACAAACTAATAACAAAATGAGACTCTCTTACCATTATAAACGCTTGGGAGTTAAAGGCTTTTCACAGCTCTAATTTATGCCCTAAGAGGCTAGGTTATATTATCAAAAGTTTATCTCTGATCATTTCAGTAAAATTTATAATGCCTAACCATTAATAATAAGAAAGTATTTTAACATTTTTAAATAATATAAAACTTTTTAGTTCACTTGTAGAGTCCAAATTTAGATCTTTCCTAATCCTAATTTAAAACTCCATATTAACAGTTGTAAATCCTTCTATTTTCTGTTTACATTATTTACATAATTTTACATATAGAACAGGAAAAAAGCAGCATACATTTTTGATCACTTATGATTCTTCTGTTAGTAATATTTTTGTGTATTTTTAAAAGTAGTTCCTCGCACAGTAATTTGAACAAAGTTATAAGCAAAATGACATAAATCTTATATATATGACCTACCTTACAAAATGGTTGGTCAGAATTTGATATGATTTTAATAAGCCACTTCTTCTTTTACCTTCTTATTTAAAGTAGAATAGACTTGGAGAACACAAAATTTAAATCTGCAACAAAAAAAGGGTACATACAGCTAGCTTCCACTTTTAAAACCAAACCACAGATGACACATTTCCTTTCCGCTGCAACAAAAACTCCAGCTTGTCTTGCTGGCCGCTGGCATGACAGGATGCTTTGTAGAACAAATCTCCGCCTCCACAGAAGGGAGGGTTTTCCAGTTAATGCCTTTTGACCTTTGGCTTATTATGTATGCCTCCTATATTCTTTTGAGTGATATGTTAGTATTATTTAATAGATGGTATCTTTGATGTAGCATTAAAATTTCTAAAAAACTTACTAGTATACCACAGACTGATTTGAAAACATGCGATTGAAGTCCTTGGGGTAGTTGTTAGATAATAGAAGCGATGATACCCTTAACTGACATTTCAGATTGTGGAACTGAAACAATGATTTGAGAAAGTATCTAGCAAACTTAGATTACATAGAAACAGAAAATCTTTTCATATGATATATTGTATACACACATATTCTCTCCCCAGATGTCTAAAATGAATGTTGCTGGGCATGGCACACACCTGTAATCTCAACATTCTGGAGGCTGAGGCAGAAGGATCACCGTGAGTTCGAGGCCAGCCTGGGCTATGTAGTGAGTTCAAGGCCAGCCTGAACTACGAAGCAAGACCCTGTCTCAAAATTAATTAATTACACATTTTAAAACATGGCTGTCATTTTTTCTCCAAAAAATGGCTGCCCCTCATGATCTCCTTGTTTCTGTTCATGATAGCATTATTTGTAACCTTAAAAGCTTAGAAGCAGGTCCTTTAAATTTGTGTCCTTTTCTTTGATTCCAGATTAGACTTTGGGTTATGTGGGCTGTTCTTTTATATTTTTTGGATCAGCTTTTTTCTTGTTTTTACTATTCATCATAGTTTTTTTTTATCATCATAGTTTTTCAGATCCTTGTTAGGTACTGGTCAAGTGACAAATACAATATCATTTTTACTAGCTCCAACCAGCTTCATCTATCTTGTACAAATAGATGTCTTTGGTCATGTTACTCCTTTATTAATTTTTTTTAAGTTGAATAATTTTCTGTTTTCAGAAGTGATTAAGAAATGTTTGTAGATATAAAGATCAGATGAAAATGTTTAAAAACAAGAAAAATGCCAACCCCCTCCCCATATATTCCTATTTAGTATGCCATGCCTAGGACTAGGAAATTCTATTTTTATAAACACCACAGTTGATTCTGATGCCAGTGATATGCAGAACATACTCTGAAAAATACTCAGTCCCTAGAAGACCTGAATCCCTTCACCGAACATTTACACTTTATAATTTGGCTTTTCCCAGCTGTTTCTCTCAAAACTTCCCTACATGAATCTTCTGTTATATCTAAACTAGTTATTTATGTGACACATTTAGTTACCTATTTTTTTTTGCCTGATTCCCCCTTCTTGAGTGCCAAATTCCTCCTACCCAGTTGAGCCTGAGTCTTCTATATAGCTCTTATGCTCATTCCCAGTCTGTATTGATCTCACTTCTTTTGAATTTAATAGCAGTATTTACTCTACAGTTCCTTTGATAAGTGATTACATGCTGCATTATACAGGTTGTCCAAGATACTTTGTCCAAAATACTTTGCACTAATAATGTTTTGGATTTTGGAATATTTGCATATTACATGAGACATTTGGGGGATAGAATCCAAGTCAGAACACAAAATTCATTTATTATTTATGTATACCTTATACACATAACCTGAAGGCAGCTTTATACTATATTTTTAGTATGTACGTGGTTTTGCTGCAGCCCATCACAGAAGATCAGGTCTGAATTTTCCACTTGTGGCATGTATTGACATTCAAAAAGTTTCAAATTTTGAACCATTTTGGATTTCAGATTCTCAGATTAGGGATGCTCAATTTGTATATATTCTTTTATCTTGAAATATTTTTTTTTGGTTTGAAAATCATTTAACTTGTCATTTTTATTTGATGTGCTCCCAAAAAGATTAAAAACTAGGAGAAGATGCTGTGTTTACCTTAGCAAATTTAGCAGTACTATCCCTAGAGTCATCAAATATAGAAACTGTTGGGTCTAAGTTAGTGTAGTTATTTGGATTTGAAATTCTGGTACCATGTTCTTCACAGCTTTCTCAGCATAGCTACTCACATTGATTAGCATTCTTTGGTTTTGAGCTATATATGACCTAATATGGCTTAATAAAAAATAGTGTTGACTGGTTTACACAGCTGAATAGTCCAGGAAAAAATTGGACCCCAGGAGATACTCTCTAGGTCTTAAACTAGGCCTCCATTTCTCGCTTCATTTCTCAGCTCTTTCTCTTCAGTTTTTGGGCAGGCTTTTCCTGCATATCCCAAGTTTGCTGAATCATTCTCTGGTCAAGGTAGGATAGAAGGGTTGGCTGCAGCCTAAAGCATTTTCACTCCAGAGCTGCACAGCCAGTGATTCCTACCCAGACTATTTACCTGACAGATTTGGTGGGCCAGAGGCAACCAACCAGTTCCCACTATCTTCCTCTTTTATTAACTGATGGGCAAATTTTGTATTGTTATTACTCAAAAGTTTTGGATTGGAGATTTGTCTTATGCCTTTTACCCTGATTTGACAGTGTCTGAAGAACAACTGAAGCAGGGTGTTGTGGCACATGCCTGTAATTCCCAGCACTTGGGAGGCTGAGGCAGGAGGATTGCCACAAGTTTGAGGCCAGCCTGGGCTACATAGTGAGTTCAAGGCCAGCCTAAAGTACATAGCAAGACCCTGTCTCAAAAATTAAAATAAAAGAAAAACAAAAAAAAGAAAAGAAGAGGGCTGGGGATTTAGCTCAGTGGTGCCACCGCCTGCCTCGCAGGTGCAAGGTCCCGAGTTCGATCCCCGTACCAAAAAAAAAGAAGAAAGAATAATCGATTTAACATATTCCTGATGGCTTGAACCACCAGTGGCATGTGCATGTCTGACCCATTGGGTAGCTTTTTATTTTTGGGGGGGGGGAGGTACCGGGGGGTCGAACTTGGGACCTTGTGCTTGTGAGGCAGGTGGCGGAACCACTGAGCTAAATCCCTGCCCCTAGCTTTTTAATAATTAGTAAAAAGACCAATAAAACTGATTAGTACCACCAGTGGTACAAGCCATCATTTGGGACAGTTTTACATGTATCTCCAGTGATTCAAGCCACCTGACAGTGAGACATATGAATTATGGCCCCATTGTGAACGCATTAAAACATGAATCCAGCCAGGCATGGTGGTGCACACCTGTAATCCCAGCATTCTGGGAGGCTGAAGCAGGAGGATTACAAGTTCAAGCCTGGCCTGGGCAACTTAGGGACTTAGACCCTGTCTCAAAATTTTAAAAATCCAGGCACCGTGACACACACCTGGAACCCCAGCACTTGGGAGGCTGAGGCAGGAGGCTTGCCCCAAGTTCAAGACCAACCTGATGTATATACCAAGACTGTCTCAAAAAAAAAAAAAAGTGTGGGAGGGACTGAGCTACTAGCTATAGCTCAGTGCAAAGACCCTGAGTTCAGTCTCCAGTACCAGGAAGGGGATTGGAGGGTAGGGGAGAACATGGGTCCAGACTTTAAATAATTGTTTTCTATTATTGTGTTCTTTAGAAAATGAATCAGGAAAATTAGAAAAAAATAATTAATGGCATCTGTATATTTATTCACAGCTCTGTTAAGTCTTTGGCCTTTTATTTTATCTTCCTTAGGTTCAAAACTGGTCAAATCAATGGCGATTTGCTGATTTACCACGTCTTGCTGACTTTAAAGCCATATTATGCAAAGCCATATGAAATTGTAGTGGACCTTACCCATACTGGGCCTAGTAATCGCTTTAAAACAGACTTTCTCTCCAAGTGGTTTGTTGTTTTTCCTGGCTTTGCTTATGACAATGTCTCTGCAGTCTACATCTATAACTGTAACTCCTGGGTTAGGGAGTACACCAAGTATCATGAGCGGCTACTGACTGGCCTCAAAGGCAGCAAAAGACTAATTTTCATAGACTGTCCTGGGAAACTGGCTGAACACATAGAGCATGATCAACAGAAACTCCCCGCTGCCACCTTGGCTTTGGAAGAGGATCTGAAGGTATTCCACAATGCTCTCAAGCTAGCCCACAAAGATACCAAAGTTTCTATTAAGGTGAGTTTTGATTTGTGTTTTTGAATGATTCATTACTTTTCTTAACTAACCAGACCTCCCTAAGTGTCATGGTAGTTATATATCAAATGTCACTCCAAAGGTAAGAAGGCCAAGATTTCTCTTTATAGAGATCCTGCAGGAAATATGAGAAGTATACACGGAATTATATCCTAGATTGGGTTGGAGGCAGAAGAATGCTATAGAAAAGGTGCTATAGTTTGCTGTCTGTCGGTCAAATAGTAAGAATGTGGAGAGTAGAATTTACCTAATGAGAGTTCTTATTAGTACGTGATTTTTTTTCAGTGAGGAGCAGGAGCCTTATGGATAAAATTGGTACTTGTCTGTAGGGATCTCCTTAAAAAGTAAAATTAAAGTTTTTTCTGATGTTTTCAGATTTTTTTGAGGTTATTTATCACAGTAATCATTGGACCTATTTGAGTATGTAATGGTAATAACTCCTTAAATGGCAAACATAGTGGGTAGATGAGTGGGTGGGTTGGTTAGTTGGTTTTTGGAGCCTCTTCAAATTCTACATAATAGAATTTAATTATTCTCCACTTCATCCTCTCACCCTCACTTTTCAGGTTGGTTCTACTGCTGTTCAAGTAACCTCGGCAGAGAGAACGAAAGTCCTGGGGCAGTCAGTCTTCCTAAATGACATCTACTATGCCTCAGAAATTGAAGAAATCTGCCTAGTGGATGAGAACCAGTTCACCTTAACCATTGCCAACCAGGGCACACCGCTCACCTTCATGCACCAGGAGTGTGAAGCCATCGTCCAGTCTATCATTCATATCCGGACCCGCTGGGAGCTGTCACAGCCTGACTCTATCCCCCAGCACACCAAGATTCGGCCAAAAGATGTCCCTGGGACACTGCTCAATATTGCATTACTTAATTTAGGCAGTTCAGACCCTAGTTTACGGTAGGTTTTTTTGTTTGTTTGTTGTTAATTCAGCTTTGTCCAGGATTTGCTCTTTTAAAATGAGGCCATTTAATAAGCTTTTTAAGATAGCCTCTTTCT